AATGCAGCTTCAATACATGAAGCTCTGGATTCACTTGGCAGAACCGGAGGATGCCGCCTGGCAAGAACCTGTCATTTTTATACTAGCACTTTACCGATCAATCAACCGGCCACAACACGGTGCGCACACTGAACATGAGCGTTATATCATCGAACAGAAATGTTCAAATCTCTATAGCTAGTTTTAACCATAGATCTTATTTCAGACATCTGACCAAAAAACTGACAAAAAGAAACTGACTCAGAGACGAGGCAACAGGAAGTGTAGAACTGCTGACTCATTGCTGCAGCTGCTTTATTACTACGAACACCAGTCCTCCTTTATCTTCGTCGTGGTGACGTGAAACAACATTTGTTCGCCACAGAGATTATTTTCTGTAAATCCAATAAAACAATCTGATTGGCTTGTTGTCGAGGGGAACCAGGGAGACGTTCACTTCCTGGTTGGCCTCCAGAAATACATGATTGCTGCAGAACTCTGTGCACTGTGTAACGTTCTGTTAGAATGAGTCTCTAGATTAAGCTTAGAACAAACACACAGAGGAACACGTGCAGCTGTTTTCACAGGCTTGAGTAGTTCTCATCACAAACAGTGCTCCTTTAAAGACAGTGTAGACGTCTTCTTGCTGCCCCATTGGCTCTACTTTTGAATCAAAACAGCTGCTCAGGATTCCGACACACACACACACACACTGCAGTTATTGGCATCCATTACTCTGAACCTGCACGTATTGCAGGACCGCTGACAGGTCCGAGCAGATATGACGGAGTCCTATTTTGCGAACGCTCAAAACTGTTTTCAACAAGTCGCCGCCTGTAGAAGGAAGCCCATTGTGAGCGTGCGGCGGCCTCGGTGGTGGAGCGTATTATCGTTATTAGACATGAGGGATTATTTTAATATGAGGGCTAATTTGTCCTTCTGGCCTCTTATCGCTCCGCTCACCTGCTGGACGGACCGTGTGAGCAGAACAACGTTCCTCTTTGTGATCCCGGGAGAATTCCTCAGGCCCATCCTCCGCCATTACGTGCCCGTGAGTTCCCAGGTGTCTGTGTGTCTGTGTGTGTGTGTGTGTGACGGGTGGTCTGCAGGTGTGTATATTTGAGTATTTATCCCATTCCGAGCACGTAGAAAAGCCCCCCCCCCCCCCCCCACTGTAAATCTGATGGCAGGGGCAATTTGGCAACAGCATAAAAGGCCCCTGTTTTTTTTGTTTTTTTATGACTATGATTATGGTTATGATGATGACTAGTATTTATTTCAACTATCTGATGAAACCCTCGGCTGAAGCCAACAGGTGTCGAAGCAGGTACAATATCCTGCCCGCTGAAGGATCCCCTTGTAACGTCGCCACAGAGAGCGGGAAAATATCGGCCGCCCCCGAAACAGAAGAATGGGTCGTTTCAGCGCGCGCTCGTTACGCCGCACATGGAGCAATTTCTGATTATTGGATGGGAGTGGAGCGCCACAACGTCCTCTTTGTAGAGAGGGGATGATTTATGGCTGTTAGTCAGGCATACGGCAGTAATTGCCGCAGTGGCGGTTATGTTACCATGGCACCTGTTTAAACTGTCCATTCTTATGTGAATGTTTTCTTTTTTCTGGGGGGGGTTAAAGCTTGAAACTGATGTGTGGAGACATTAATTGGAGTTGGGATGGTGTGGTAACAATTAGGGGAAAAGGAGAGTGTTTGATGGACAGATTTGTGTGTTATGTTATCTGATATATGAGGGAAAGTTTGTTAAAAACCAACATGGACTATTTATGAATTATGCAAGAGAGAAGCAGTCTACTCAGCAATAAACACACTGACATGTGTACTGAGACTATTGTGGGAAAGACTTACTGCAATTGAATGCATTCTGTAAAATAAACACTCAAAGACACGCTCAAACCATACCAATGCAAGATAGTTCAAGCTTCATGAGACGCTTTGGTCCTTACATGTTACTCTACATGTACATATTTAGCACTCAGTGTTCTGACAAGCTTTTCAAAATAAACTTCTGTCTTCACAGTAAACTCACTTTGGTTTAGTCAACAAAACGACTTAAGTTAGGTTCAGGGAAAGATAGTCTATAATATATAATAATATATATCGATAAAATAACTACAGAAGGGCTGACGTACGTAGTGAAAACATCAACGTTGACTTCTCGTTCCACACTCGAGCAGACCAGTCGGGTTTACTGCACAGCTGGTTCTGGCTGGTTGTTGTTACAGATGACTTCGCCGGTAGCAGAGCAGACGGGGGGAGCGAGGCGGAGGGACGCTTGCTTTGTTAAGATCGAGTTGGTACAAATTACTCATGTTAAATTAATGTAACACTGAGCAGTAAGCTAGTTTAGTTTGTTCCACTTATTTCACCAGAGTCACAAACTAATAGTTAAATGATTTAAGTCGTCAAAAAGTGAGTTAAATCGTACTGAGAATTAAATACATAGTTACTGATTTGACTCACACGAACAGGTAACTGGGCAAAAGAATAAAAGTCAGTAGTTAGTGGGCGCATACAAACAATGATCTACATCGGCCTACATTAAGCTAAATAATGTAGGTCAGTCACAGAATAACTGGAATCAGAAACGTGTGATGATCCACTGTAGACGCAGTAGAAAGGAAGGAAAGGCCAAAAGCCATTTGGTTGAATGACTACCACGATCCAAGCAAGTCAGCATCAGTTTCAGTTAAACACCCTGTGTCACTGAACGGGGATAAGCATTGTGAAAAGAACTGAAGCACCTAGTCTGAATCTACAGGTGATGCAGTTTTACTCCTCTCGTGTTCCTCGCCCTTCCTTCGACTCTCATCCCAGTCTGGAGTTGAAAGGTTGCAGAAAGTGAGTAATGAGACCTGGAAGTGCACCAGTGTGCTCGGTTACAGATGCACTTTCAGAGGGCATCCACTGTTCCACAAAACAGACTCCAAGAACAGCTAACACAACGTTAACCGTCTTTAGAAATAAGACCGGAGGTAGCCGTCGCCTCCTTAACAGCAGTGCCGAGCAGCCAATCGGAGACGGCAGCGCTAATCGCTCCCCCAATGCTGTGAAGCCGAGCTGCACAAAACACTGTTAGTACCTCCGTGTGTAGGACTAATGCATATCACACATACATCAGATTCTTTTTCTTCTTCTTCTCTCTGTTTGTGTATCTTTGTCTGTCTCTCTCTCTCTCACACACACACACACACACACACACACAGAGGAGGCGGTGTGCAGCACTGTGGCAGCAGCCTGTCAGCAGCGTAAATGACCTGTGAAGAGTTTCACGGTGCGTGTCATTAGGCAGCTTTAGATTTGTTTCAACAGCGCTTTACCTGAGGGCTCCATTCATGGGCCCCCAGGTATGACGTCCCTCCCCACTAAAAGGGGGGGGGGGGGGGAGTTGAGACAGTGATGAAAAGCCCATGAGCATGATGGGGCAAGGCTTAAGTGTGTTGCTGGTCTACCGCTGCCAGACCCTGTTCACAAAAACACTCATTTTACCTCTCAGAGCACACTAGTTGCTGGTCTACCTCTCGATCGGGTAGTTTGTTTGTGTTATTGTGACTTTGGTGTTTTAAAGGGTTAAGTTTAGTTGATACTCACTGAAAATGCAGAGCCTTCACGGCGTTTGGTCGTGCACCTCTAAACATTTCGTAACTTGGCCCACACTGCACGTGCAAACAAAGCTTTTCAGACGTTATGACGACAAATAATTCACTTATAAAAAGGACTGTTAAAATGTCTGAGGATTGTACAAAGACAGAAACAGGAGGTCTTCAAAATATACATTTGAGTAAATATTTTGCAGCCAAATTAAACCCGTTTGCAGGATAATTGACCTTTATAATGCATGTATTACTTGACTACTTTCTTTTATAAAGGCAGAAAAAAGTACATATGTATAACCAAAGCGTTAGTTCGGATTCACCAAAGTCACAATAACAACACAAACAGCGGTAGAGCAGCTGCTCCGGTGTTCTGTGAGGTTAAATGACTGTTTTAGTCAAAGCAGTTTTGTGCCTTTGAAGAGAGACAACGACTTCAGTTACCCGTCAAAAAGATCCGTCTGTATTCTAAATACAGCGTTGACTTAAACTGATATTGATTCTTTTTCACAGCAGTACATTGCTTTGCTCCATCTACTGTAGTAATACAATGAAGTGTTAATACAGAGTGTTATTGATGTAAAGCATTAACACTGGAAGCTTATTGCTTTCAGTGTAAAAAAAACAAAACACCACATCTCCAATTTTGCAAGTCTGAAAGTGTTTTTTTATTTTGTGTTTCCCCCTCCTGAGGCAGACGTGAACTCTAATCCAAGTAATTTACAACTAGTTGATAATTATACTTTTCTAGGAAAATCAGTCATGTAAAGGTCACCGTCACCCAGACGGAGGAGTGATAAGGGGTGAGGAGG